TAATTCAATGATCCTCCCCTCCCCAAACAAATAGTAACAAACCAAGAAGATTCTTGGTGTTTGTACTGAGTCTGACATCAATATTGGGAGCTCCCAGGAAGAGGGGATGAGGGGCCAAGATTGTAACTGGCGCAGGTCAAAGCTTCTATGCTGATCTGCAGTGGGATAAAGCCATCAGCGGCCACTGAACTTCTAGTCTCCGTGAGATAGGGAGACCCAGTTTAAACAAACAAAACAAAAGAAAATAAACATTCCTTGGTACCCTCTCTCTAGTGAGGCAGATGAAAGTCTGTGGCAAAGTATTTATAGAAATAGGAGAAACATATGAAGAGACCCACAAATAAAGTGGCCAACTGTTTGGTGGCAAAACCCAGCTCCAGCTGCATCACACAGCTGAATGTTTTGGAAAACCAAATCCTCATCAATAATGCGTGTGTGTTAAAAAAGGAAGCATATTTTGTCATTTGTTATTTCTTAGAAGAGCAAATTCAAAAGGGCTTTTTGCATGGTGGAGGATCTGTTGTTTGTAGAAACAGAATGAAATGTTCATCCCTAATCCTCAGATGTCCTAAGCCTTGGAGAGAAAAAAGAAACAATTAAATCCCTAAATTGAGTTTGTTGGAGTTTTGTATTAATTAACAGAATGAAGACAGAGATACTTTTCTCTCCATTTAAGCAAAAACAAAACTTGCTCTGTTCCTCTCAGCAAAATAGTATCTATTAAAATGAAGTGAATCTCCATTTGAAAAATTACTGTTAATACATTAAAAATTCTGCCTAAGAGGATTTCTGTTCCCATGAAAATAGAGGAATTATAAGACATGGTATGTCCTTATTTCCCCTCTAAAGCAGTGGTTCTGAACTTTTTTTTTCAACATGGACTCATTTCACAGCCTGGTGAAGCCTATGGACTCCTCAGAATAAAGTTTTTAAATTCATAAAATAAAACACTTAGGATTATAAAAGAAATCAAGGGTTAGTGAAAAAAAGATAGTATTTTCATGGACCCCTCTCAACTCTATCCACAAAACCACTGGGGGGTTCCCTTGGGGACCCTAAGTTAAGAATGTGTCCTGCTCCAGAAGCAATCAAATATTGTGGAGGAGTAGAAAGAGCTGCCTGTATATTTCCCGTTGCACCCAGGCGATATCACCTCTCCTCATCATTCTCAGCCAATTTCAGGTTGAAAGCAATATTGCAGAGTGATGTGCAGTTCCTGGTAACTCCATGGGAAGTACCCACGTAGGGCAAGATTGAAACTTATACAGTTAGTTGCAACTGTTTTGTTCTTCAAGGTGAATCTTTGGATTCCCCATTCTTGTGTACCTTCACAATTCTATGATGAACAAACGTAAAATAAGGCAACCTTGCTTCTCTCATTCCTATTAGGAGCTTCCTCTTGGTGGGCTATCTTCCTGTGCTGGCTGCCTCTCTTCAACCAGCAGAGCTCGTTGTTGCAGTCACTGAGACTTCCGTGTGTAGAAATAACACTCAGAGTACAGGAAGGGTATGGAAATCTGTCTACCACTACAGACGTGGATTTCCTTTTAAATCCATTTGTCTGTAATATAGATATTTGCTAGACTTCTGGACTGAGGCTCAAGAAATTAAGAAGAAAAAATGTACTGTGTGCTTGTAGGTGTAGGTATGGAGGAGGGAAATAATTTCCACTTCCTGTTTCTAACCATGTCACAGGTTGGTTGAGTATCAAGACAAAACATCTGACATGAGATGCAGTTTTCCATACTTATTGTCCTCTACGTTTGCAAAGAAATAAGGGAGGAATGGAGGTGGGTGCAACTGGAAATGTTTTTGGACATTTTTTTTTGGACTGACCTGATGATAACTGACACAAAGCTGGACCAGTCAATGACAGGAGAATAAAGGAATAACTTTTTTTTTAAAGGCAATTGGGGTTAAGTGACTTGCCCAGGGTCACACAACTAGTAAGTGTCAAGGGTTTGGTCTGAGGCCAGATTTGAACTCAGGTCCTCCTGACTTCAGGGCTGGTACTCTATCCGCTGCGCCACCTAGCTGCCCCAAGGAACAACTTTTAAAAGGGAGGCAATGTTTTCTTCCCCTTTGTTGACAATTTAATGAAAACATTCTATGTAATGTTCTGTGGAAAGAAACACCGGAGTAGTAGTGAACATTCACAAAACCTCTGACTGCTGTTCCAGGCCTCCCTCACTATCTTATTTTGTTTGTTTTTAAGTATATCAGTATTTATTTTGTTAAATATTTCACAATTACTTGGAAAATTTTTAAACATTTATTTAAAAAAATTTACGTTTCAAATTCTCTCCCTCCTTCCTGCTTCTTACCCTTCTCTTGAGAAGGTAAACAATATGATGCCCATTATACATGTGAAGACATGCAAACCATATTTTCATATTAGCCATATTGCAAAACACACCCACACACACACACACACACACACACACACACACACACACACACAAACAAGAAAAAATAAAGTGTTGTTTTTTTTTTTTGTGTGTCTAGGCAGTGGGGTTAAGGGACTTGCCCAGGGTCACACAGCTAGTAAGTGTTAAGTGTCTGAGGCCAGATTTGAACTCTGGTCCTCTTGACTCCAGGAGTGGTGCTCAAAATAAAGTTTTTTTTAAAAGTATGCTTCAATCTACATTCAGAGGTCATCAGTTCTCTATCTGGAGGTGGATAGCATTTTTTCTTATGAGTTGTTTGGAATTGTCTTGAATCACTGTTGTGATCAGAGTAAAGTCTTTCAGATTTGATCATTCTTAGGATATGCTGTTACTGTGTGCAATTTTCTCCTGGTTCTGCTCACTTCGCTTTGCATCAGCTCATATAAGTCTTCCTAGGTTTTCCTGAAACCATCCTACTCATCATTTCTTGTAGCAAAATAGTGTTCTATCACACTCATACAACACAACTTGTTCAGCCTTTCCCAAATTGATGGGCATCCCCTCAATTTCCAGTTTTTTGCCACTACAAAAAAGCTACTATAAATATTTTTGTGCATATAGGTCCTTTTTATTTTAAACCTCTTTGGGATATGGAGCTAGTAGTAGTGTTGCTAAATCAAAGGGTGTGCCCAGTTTTACAGCCCTTTAGGCATAGTTACAAATTGTTTTCCAGAATGGTTGTACTAGTTCATGGCAATAGTGCATTAGTGTCCCAATTTTTCCATATCCTTTTCAGCATTTGTCATTTTCCTTTCCTTTTAGTTTTATGTATTAATTCAATGGTTTTCTTACACCTAATTTTATTAATTTCACCTTTAATTTTTAGGATTTCCAATGGTGTATTATCCTCACTGTGGCTCCACAGTATTAAATTTTTTTTTCTAGGTGCTTGTAATATTTATCCTTGACCTGAGAACTTCAAAACTGTTATGGTATTCCTGTGAATTTTCATTTTGAGATCTCTCTCAGGTGGTGATTGGTAATTTTTTTTTCTATTTCTATTTTACTCTCTTGATCTAAAACTTCAGGGCAATTTTTCTTAGTAATCTTTTGAAGTGTGGTATCTAAACTTTTTTTTTTATTATAACTTTCAGATAGTCCAACAATTCTTATATTGTCTCTACTTTATCTGTTCTCCAGGTCAGTTGTTTTTCAAATGAGATGTTTTACATTCTCTTATATTTTTAATTCTTTTGATTTTATTTATTTCTTGGTGTCTTATGAAATCATTAGCTTCTCCTTGCCCAATTCTAATTTTTAAGGAGTTATTTTCTTCTGTAAGTTTTTGGATCTCTTTTTCCATTTGGTTGACTTTTCATAATTTTCTTCATTTTCTTGCACTATTCTCATTTCCCCCCCTAATTTTCCCTCAACTCTCTTATTTGATTTTTAAAATCCTTTTTTAAGCTCTTCCAAAAACCCTTTTTTGGGCTTGTGACCATTTCACTTTCTTCTTTGATATAGAAGTAGTTAATTTCATTATCTTCTGAATTTGAACCAAGAGCTTCTGTATTACCATAGTAATTATCCAGCCTCAGACACTTACTACAGTGTGACTCTGGGCAAGTCAACCCTGTTTGGCTCAGTTTCCTCATTTATAAAATGAGCTGCAGCAGGAAATGGTAAACCACTCCAGTATCTGCCAAAAAACCCCAAATAGGATCACAAAGAGTAGGACACAACTGAAATGACTGAACAACAGAGACCACAGGGAGCCAATGGAACTTTTTGAGAGAGGAGCGACATGGTCAGACCTGTGCTTTAGGAGTATCTGTTTGGCAGTTACATGGAAAGTAGATTGGAGCAGGGAAAAATTTTAGGTAGAGAGACTAACTAGGATATTATTGTGATAGACAGGTGAGAAGTGATGAGGGCCTGATCTAGGGGGGCTATCCCTGGGAATGAAATGAAGGGGATGGATTCAAAAGATTTTATAAAGGTGAAACTGTCAAAACTTGGTAACTGATCTTTTTTAATCATGTCAAAACTTTATGACATCTCAAAGATCCTAAAAGTGAATGGTTCTTATGAAAGTCCATCAGTTCTTGCACATTTAATTCAGATGTGAGTAGCTCAGTGGATAAAGCACTGGATCTTGAGTCAGGAAAATCTGAGTTCAAATCCGACTTCAGGCACTTGCTAGTTATGTTACCTTGGGTAAGTCATTTAAGCACTGCCTGCCTCAGTTTCCTCATCTGGGGTAAACCAGAGATAATATAATAATAGCACATACCTCTCAGGTTCTTGGGAGGGTAAAGTGAAATAATATTTGTAAAGTGCTATGTAATTGCACTTGTAATTGTAAGTTGTAAATTTGTTATGTAACTGTAATTGCTATGTAAATGCCAGCTTTTACTATCATCTAGAAAACTGAAAAATGTTTTTGTTAGTATTATCTTTAGCTATGCACACAAAAGCACAAGACTGAGTACTTATACTAATCTTGAACAGTGGTTCATTGGGAAGGTTATGATACAGGAATGCGTTCTTGAAAATGTGGGATACTGACATGGGAATAATTTCATGTTAAGTTCATCATGGATAATACCAGATTTTATTGTGGGCTTTTCTTCAATATCATGTGACACAATTATTTCACATATAATTACATATAATATATGCATATATAAATTTATACACATATATCCATACAATGGCTATACTTTCCCAATAAAAACAAAAATCTGATGTCAACTAAATGATGCTTTATTACTTAAGCCTTCTTTAGAACTCAGTATTGTCAATAAGCTTAACAATAGGCTAGAAATCCACAAAGCTAATGCTAGTTGGAATTCTCTTGAAGTTTCTGTAATACCTTCAATTCTATGACTTCCAAGTCTCACTCTCCTGCCATAAGTGGATGAAAATTCTTTTTCATGAGTTTAATCTTCACCAATCCAGGGCTGAGTTTGAACAATGGTAAATACACCCACTTATATTACTCAGGGCAAGAAAAGTCAGTGGTTGGAATCAAGTCAAAGTATTTCGTCTGAAGTGTCCTAGGTACTGGTCCACTTAGTTGAACTTTCAGGCCTGAAAAATTTTAAGTTTCAAAAATTTCTTGAAAAGGAGAAGGTAATTAAATTCTAAAACCAAAGGCTTCACTTATCATTTGTTGCTTAAAAATTTTCCAATTTTTAATAAAGAAAAATTACAGTCATTTCTAAATTCCCCCCTCCCCCCCTCTTTATTTTGAGATTGTGGGTTGTTTTTGCATTGAGCTTAAGTGAATATCACTCTGCTGTGGTTATTTTCTGGGTGTCGGGAGAAGCAGTACCTCAGATAAATGAAATCATTTAATAATATGGCATTCTTTAAGAAGCAAAAATGTACTCAAAGGAACTTTTTTTTTTACAGAAATATTTGAATGAATAGGGGTTGCTATAAAGTACATATATGCAGCAACTAAAGATAAACTTGAATTTCTACACATAAGAAAATAACTACTAGGAAATACTTTAACTTAAGAACTATTTGTAGGGTCTTTTGGGGGGGCAGTGATGAGTAGTGTTCCAAAGGACTATTATTCTGGAACAGTAGTTGACTGAGGTGAGCCTAACTAGGAAATATCAAAGGATGTAATTCACACAAAGATGTAAAATGGAAGGACATTATTTCTTAATAAACTAATGACATCTCACTTTGAACAGATGTTCTTAGTTGACAGGAAGAGTATAAACACAACTCTAATGAATGAATTTACTAATAATAGTTCTTCCGCCTTTAGAGGCAGTAGCCAAAGCCAGCACAGATGAGAAAAATATGTGAGTCTGGAGAAACACAGAGCATTACATTGAAGTGTATGAAGTAATGTACTCAATTCAGCATTGAATTAAATTTCCATGATTATTTACAGGTCCTTTGAATTCAGGTATCTTCTGGCTCACATACAAGTGACCTGCGTCACCCCGTCCTCCTGATCGTATTGTCCATCATCCAATTCTCTCAGAACACTGTCACTGCTGCTGACCCCCGAGAAGCTGCCATAGGGTGCCGGCATCCCTTCTCTGGTCCAAGGTTCTTGAGAAGGAGAGAGATGACATTGCTCAGATGGGTGTCTGCTTTCTGCAGGGCGAGAAGTAGCTGTGTCTAGCCCAATACTCCGACTAGTTACCTTGCTTTTCTCTTCCCTTATCTGCCTCGTGGATTTCTTCTGAAACATAAGGGATGTTCACACAGGAATTATAACAAGACAGCTGCCAACTGCTAAGCAATGACAGAAAAGCCAGTAGTGAGAAGCCTGGACAGGGCAGCTCTAGATGTAGTCAGAGAGCCTATTTGAAACACTTAGCAACTGGGGGGTCCCTGGTCGAGTCATATACCTCTCTAAGCTTCAGATTCCTCATCTGTAAAATAAGGGGTCTGACCTTGATGACCTTGTTGACTTAGAGTTTGTCTGTGCTAAATGGACCCTGAGAACCCCCTCTCAGCTCTATACCTATGCTTTGATGTGTAAGTAGTCCATTTGTTTCTGCGGATTCTACATCCATTTTTACTTAGGTCTCAACCCAAGATAAAAAGTGGGGCTAAGCTGGGATCTGCTTTAGTTTATGTTCAGTCGTGGGGCCCAAATGTACCCCCAAACTTTCTTTTCCACAAACTATCTGTCTGGAAAAATGGGGATCTCAAGCAATGTGATATGGCCCATGCTTTAGAACACTTTGTTAGCTGTGGATATCCTTAATAATAAATATTTAGTGAGCGCTTACAGCATCCTTGATCTTGCTCAGAACAAAGATAGCATCACATAGTCTCTGCCAAGGACACCAAACTAAGCAAGAAAAACAACCTGATGAAAGGGGAAAGAAGGTAGAAGAATCACTGTCCGTGATAACTCACATTTATACAGAGCTTTGAAATTCACAAAGCTTTTCCTTTACAACAGATCTTTGAGGTAGGCAGTACAAGCCTTGTTGTCCCTATTTTATGGTCCCTGAAACGTAGCAGGCACTTCATAAATGTTCACTGGTTGAATGATTGCTAGGGAAGCCCAGGCTCAAAGTAGTTGGGTCCAAGGTCAGAACCAGGCTTTGAAACAATAATTACAAAAATTGGTATTGGAAAAAGAAATAGATAAACGGGGCAGAACAGAAAACCCCAATATAAGAGGCTAACATTTAATACATCTATGTTTAAAAACATTAGAGAATGCAATCACTAGCCTGTCTCTGGAGTCAGAGGACTTGGGTTCACATCCCATCTCTTATGATTGCTATCTATATGACCTTGGACAAATCACTAAACTTCCCTGGACCTCGGTTTCTTCATCTGTAAAATGAGGGGATTTTACCAGATGGTTTCCAAGGTCCCTTCCAGTCCTAAATCTATGATCTCAAATGGTACTGAGAAAGCTAGATTTCTGTGTGATGAAAACTGGGTTTGGATTCACACCACAATTACCTAGATCTCTAGACTAGTTATGCTATCTATCAAGGCAAGCTAGTTCTTTTCCTTAAAAGGTATTGCAATGGCCCTTGAGGTTTAATTGGCACAGGGAAGTGAAGGTTCAGGCTGCTGAAGGAATTTCCTGGTCATCTGAGGACAAAAGGGCCTGAGGAGCTCTGGCTCTTCTGGAGGCTCCTGATGTAGTAGCTTCACCAACACCAGCAGAGGGAAGCTGCACTCAGCTCAATCAGTACCACATCCTTCCCTCGATGCAGCTGAGTAAATCTCCTTTCGTTAATTATGAGATGAACTAAAAGTGTATCCTTTTTTTCTGATTTTGAATCTGAGGTACTCGATCAGCCTCAGTTAGGCCTTGCCGAGTACATGAGTGACCTAAGTATTCTTTTTAAAATCATAAAAAAAGAAAAGAAAAAGGAATAATATATTTGATTCACCTATAAAGAGAATGCCTCATCAGAAGTCCTCATAGTGTGGTGATGACCCCGAGTATGTAGCAAGTTCTACAATGGAAAATCATATACCTCAAGTCCTTCAGTTGTTCTGACACTTTTTTTCCTTCTGGCTTATGACTTCACATATGTCCATCTGCATGACCCATGGAATAATCATTTTTATTTAAATTTAATATAGATTCCAGGGCAAAGATGATAATGGTGAGATCTCAAATTATAACTGGTATCAAAGTAGACAGAACACTGGGCCTGGAGTCAGGAAGTTCTGAGTGCAAATCCAGCCTCAGACATTTATTATTTGTGTGACCCTGAGCAAGTCATTTAAGCTCTTTATGTCTCAATGTTCTCAACTGTGAAATGGAGACAATAGTGCCTATCTCACAGGGCTGTTGGGAAAATCAAGTAAGAATATTTGTTAAGTGCAGCACTGTGTCTGACACATAGTAGGTGCTATATAAATGCTTATTTCCTTCCCTTCCTCTTTCAATCAACTGACTTTAGAACTAAAGACACAGAAATCCTTTAAAGAATACTACGAGTGAGTTAGGAAAAAGAATAGGCTACACTGTTAAAAGGAATAAGCAATGAATGCTGCCATTACTAAGTCCTTCCTCACCTTATAAATGCAATTCTTTAAAAAAAACCCATTAAACAATTAATTAATTGAATTTTAGCATTCATTTTTAAAAATTTAGAATTCCAAATTCTCTCTCTCCTTACAGCCTCTCCCTCACCCACTGAAAAGGCTAGCAATATGATACCCATTATACATGTGAGGTCATACAAAGTATATTTCTATAATAGCCATGTTGCAAAAAAAAAAGAAAGGCAAGGAAAACTGAAAAAAGTATGCTTCAATCTGCACTCCAAGTTCATCAGTTCTTTCTCTGGCTGTGGATAGCATTTTTCACAATGAGTCCTTTATTTATTGATTGATTTTTTTGGCTAGGCAATGGGTTAAGTGACTTGCCCAGGGTCACACAGCTAGTAAGTGTCAAGTGTCTGAGGCTGGATTGGAACTCAGGTCCTCCGACTCCAGGGCCAGTGCTCTACTCACTGGGTTACCTAGCTGCCCCCCATGGTGAGTCCTTTAGAATGCCTTGGATCATTGTGTTGGTCAGAGTAGCTAAGTCTTTCACATTTAATCATGCTTATAATATTGCTGTTGCTGTGTACAATGTTCTGTTGCTTCTATTCACTTTACTTTCCTTAAGTTTTTTATAAGTCTTCCCAGGTTTTTCTGAAATCATCCCCCTTGTCAGTTCTTATAGCACAATTATATTCAATCACAATCATGTACTGCACCTTGTTTAGCCTTTCCCCAATTGATGGGCATCTCCTTAATTTCTAATCCTTTGCCACCACAAAAAGAGCTTCTATAAATATTTTTGTATATAGAAGTCCTTTTCTCTTTTCTTTGTTCTCCTTGGGATATAGACTCCTAGTATTGCTGGTTCAAAGGGTACGCACAGTTTTATAACCCTTTGGGCATAGTTCTAAATTATTCTACACAATGGTTGGAGCAGTTCACAACCTCATCAACAGTGTATTAGTGTCTATTTTTTCACATCCCCTCCAGCATTTATCATTTTCTTTTTCTGTCATGTTAGCCAATCTTATAGATGTGAGATGGTACCTCAAAGTTGTTTTAATGTATATTTCTCTATGAGTGATTTAGATAATTATAAATGCAATTCTTAATTTTATTTTTAATGTATGGAATAAAACAAGCATTTCCATAACATAGTACAATAAAAAAGATGATTGTACATGAAACTGCAAATCTACTATGTACAACTTGTTATTCTTTTCAAATATACAACAAAATTATCATGTAAATTTCTTTTTTTTCTTCCTTCCCTCACCCCTGGCTCTAGAGATGGCTACCATTAGACACAAATATGTATTGGTATATATATATATATATATGTATATATATATATGTATATATATATATATATATACACACACACATATATATATATACATACAAAATACTTTACAAAATAACTTATTCACTCAAAGTTGTTCTTAAAACAATATTGTTGTTACTGTATACAATGTTCTCTTGGTTCTGCTCATTTTGCTCTTCCGTACTTCATACAAGTCTTTCCATGTTTTTCCAAAATCATTGAGCTCATTATTTCTTATAGCACAACTGTATTCCATCACAATCATAAGCCACAACTTGTTCAGTCATTCCCCAATTGATGGGCATCCCTTCAATTTCCAGTTCTTTGCTACTACAAAGAGAGCTGCTAATAATACATAAATGCAATAATAATAATAATAATAATAATAAATACAATTCTTACAAAATACCTGGGGCACTTGTAGGTAACATGAATTTTAACTAACTTAAAATTATGAGATGTATGGTCTAATTTCTCCAGGGTCAATGGCATCCCTTTATTTATTAACTCAATAAACATTTATTACATATTTGCTACATGTCAGATGCTGTGGTGACTTACAAATATCATCTATATTTAGTTTTGACATTAAAAATATTCTGTTTTAAATGAGGAAAATAATGGACTTCATAGAATAGTCTTTCTGTTATAATTGTCAAGCTACTTTAGCTCCAGCCTGACCCACCCACATGTGCCATGTTGAAATGACCTAAGCAGATTGAGATTTCCTGTAAGGAAAATTAAACATTTACCAAAGCTAGACAAGTTAAGTTTATTTAGAAACTGAGCCTTAAGTTTTAATATATACTTATTCCTCTGTGTGCAGTGCCTATAAATAACCTCTTTATATACTTCCTTCATATTTAATGTATCAGCAATATTATATTATATGGAACTTAAAAATATTAAATAACAAACTTCAAAGTATTCTCACATATCCTAAAGGATGCAGGGGTAAAGGTTATAAAGATAACTATCATTGGACCATGGGGCGTTACTATAATTAAAAGACAACAAATAAATGTGTTTCCAGTGAAGGAAACTATATAATATGAGTATGATATGTCTAGAAAATTTGAATCCCCAGATCTGGGTTCCACAAATCTCAGCACCATGGATAGAGGTTGGTCCTATTATTTCGTTGCTATTAGGAACTTGGTAGTGAAGAAGATCCCACTGCCAATGCTGGTATTTGTGTAATCAAAGGGTGTTGGATTCAGAACTGGACAACCTGAGACCTTGACAGCTCTGAAATCTTGGGCAAATATTTAACCTCTTGGAGTCTTGGTTTCCATATCTAGAAAGTGAGAGAATTAGACCTCCTTCCAACTCTAAGTCCTAGGTACTTTTCAGCTTGGCAGTACTTGCCCAGGGTTCGTGTACTACTTGCATTGACTTTGAGAACTCAAGGTCACCCCCATTTTTAGAAAAATGTTTATGGAAGCTGTTTCTGTGGTGGCAAAGAACTGGAAAAATGAGATGCCCATCAATTGTGGAACGAATATGTTATAGTATATGAATATAATATAATACTATTGTGCTATAAGAAATGATGAATGGAATGATTTCAGAGAAACCTAGGAAGATGTGTATGAACTGGTGCAAAGTAAAGTAAGCAGAATCAGGAGAACAATTTATACAATAACAACCATATTGTAAAGATAATCAACTTTTAAAGACTTAAGAACCCTGGTCAAAGTAATGACTAACCACAATTCCAGAGGATCCATGATGAAACAACCTACTCACCTCCTGACAGGGAGATGATGGATTTGGGGTACAGACTGAGACATATAGTTTTTGGCCACTGTGGAAATTAGTTTGCTTGATTATGCATATTTGTTACAAGGGTTTTGCTTTTCTTTAGGGGGAGGGAGAAAGACTGAAAATTAAAAATCTCAAAGTCCCCTCCATTTCACAATACCTAATTCATAGGCTTTAGTCAGTCAACAAGTATTTATTACAAGCACTTAATAGGTGCCAGGCACTGTGCTAAGCCCTGGGGATATGAAAAAAGGCAAAACACACTATCTGCCCTCAAAGTGCTTATATTCTTTTGGAAGAAACAACATGCAAATAACTAGGTAAATACAAGATATGAACACAGTAGATGATAGGTTATCTGAAGGGGAAGGCATTATGGCTGGGGGAAAAGGGAAAGGTCTCTGGCAGAAGGTGGGATTTGAGCTGAGTTTTGAAGGAAACCAGGTACATAAGACATAGAGATGAATGGGCAGAGCATTAATTGGGGGGGGCAGGAGGGAGGGGAAGGCAGCCAATTTGAAGGCAAAGAGGAGATGGCATGATGTGTTAGAAGGACAGCAAGTGGATCAGTATAGTTGGATTATAGAGGGGAGGGGAGTAAAGTGAAAGAAAACTGGAAAAGCAGGAAGGGGCCAGGCTATGAAGAACTTTAGATGCCAAACAGAGTAGCTGATATTTGATCGTAGAGGTAATAGAAAGCCACTGGAGCTCATTGAGCAAGGTGAGGGGGGAGGTGATATAGTCAGATCACCTCCCTAGGCTTAGAAAAATCACCTTGGCAACTGTGTGATGGGTGGTCTTGACAGGCAGATCAGTTAGAAGCTATTTTAGTATTCCAGGCAAGAGGTGATGAAGGCCTGAACTATGATTGTTGCTCTATGAGTGGAATAAAGGGAATGTATATAAGAGATGTTGTAAAGGTAGAAATGACAAAATGTGGCAATGGATTGGATATATGAGGTGAGGAAGAGTGAGGAGTTAGTTGTATATGACTCCAAGGTTGCAAGCTTGAATAACTGAGATGATGGCGGTTCCCTTGACAATAACAGGGAAGTTGGGAAGAAGAGAGGGTTTGGTGTTGTATGAAAAGACAGAAAGTTAGCACTCTCCTTGATGAAGGCAAAGGATGGAAGAGGTCCTAGTGGCCTTTATAGCACATATACGGTTAAGGCATTGCCATATACCCTGTGGCATTTATATTTCTGTGCAGGAAAACTGGGACACTAATGTACTGTTAGTGAAGTGTGAACTGATCCAACCATTCTGGAGAGCAATTTGGAACGATGCCCAAAGGGCAATCCAACTGTGCATTCTGTTTGATCCAGCAATACCACTACTAGGTCTGTATCCCAGACCTGTATCCCAAAATCCAAAGAGATTTTTTAAAAAAGGGGAAAGGATCTATTTGCACAAAAATCTTCATTGCAGCTCTTTTTGTGGTAGCTAAGAATTGGAAATTGAGGGGATGCCCATCAATTGGGGAATGACTGAACAAGTTGTAGTATAAGAATGTAATGGAATACTATTGTGCTATAAGAAATGACAAGCAGGATGATTTCTGAAAAACCTGGAAAGACTTACATGAACTGACAGAAAGTGAAGTGAGCAAAACCAGGAGAACATTGTACCCAGTAACATAAGATGAAGAAATGTGAATGACTTAGCTATTCTCAGCAATACAATGATCCAAGACAATCCCAAAGGACTCGTGATGAAAAATGCTATCTACTTCCAAAGAAAGAACCAATGAAGTCTGACTGCAGATCAAAGCACACTATTTTTCACTTTATTTTTTCATTTTTTTTACATATGTTTCTTCTTTTACAATATCACTAATATGGAAATATGTTTCACATGATTGCACATATATAACATATCAAATTGCTCACTGTCTTAGGGAGAGGTTAGGTAAAGGAAGGAGAGAGAAAATTTGGAACTCAACATTTTAAAAATTCAAATGTTAAAAATTGTCTTTACATGTAATTGGGGAAAATAAAATATTATTTTTTTAAAAGAAGGTAGAGTTTGGGGATAAAGATAACAAGTTTTGATGTGTATATGTTTAGTTCGAGATACTTCCAGGATATGCAGTTCAAGATGTTCAATAGGCAGTTGGAGATGCCTGACTATAGCTCAGGAGGGCTGGGTATAAAATAGATCTAAGAATCATTAGCACAGAGATGATAATTAAATCCAGAGGAGCAGATGAGATCACCAAGTGAAATAATATATAGAGAAAAGAGAAGACTTAGGACAGAGCCTTGGTGGCTCTGTGGACATGACATGGACCAGCAAAGGAAATGGAGAATGAGCAGCTGGACAGAGAGGAGAACTGAGACAGTGGCATCCTGAAAACCCAGAAAGGAGAGTATATCCAGGAGGAGGAGGTGATCAGCCTTGTCAAACGCTGCAGAGAGGTCAAAAAGGATGAGAAAGTTAAGAGTTGGCAATCAAAAGATCATTGGTAACTTTGGAGGGGACAGTTTCAGTTGAATGATGAGGTCAGAAGCCAGACTGCAGAAGTTTAGTTATTTGTGTATATATTTTAACCTGTTTAATACATTGTAAACTCCTTGGGGTCAAAGACCGTGTCATGTTTTATTTCTATTTGTAGATCCTCCAACACCTACCACTGCTCTTCACAACAAGGAATCAAAGACTTGGAAGGGTCACACAGCTAGTAAGAGAGGAGGAATTTGAACTCAGGAAGCTGAGCCTTCCTGTTTCCAGGCCAGCACTCTATCCACTGAGCCACCTAACTGCCCCTAAGTTTTTCCTTACGATGAACCAACTGAAACTTGCTTCATGGCAATCTCCACCTTACATGGCTAGATAAATGTTTCTTGAATATAAAATGTTTAGAGCCATTTTTTTTTACAGGTATTTGGAGGGGTTTGGGTTCTTGAATATAAAATGAATATAGATAATTATACACAACCTTTTAGGTTGTGATTTATAAAAAGCAGCAAGTTTTAGCCTCTAGAATATCATCACTGGGGTGGTCGTATTTCCTTCATTGTCATTTAGGTTCTTATTCTGTAAGACCTTTCCTAGAACCAGGTGCTTAAGGAAAAAGCTTAAAGAGTTAAAGAGTTTTCCAGTCTATCTTCTAATTTCCCATATTTTATAAGCTGTGTTATACTACTTCATAGACTATGTTACATTACTTCATATAAATTACTTCACTATAGCAGTACTATGTTTACTGAGGATAAAGCAACATTGAAAGTACTTCATACATGTAGTAGGGTCATAGACAAAAGCTAAGTATTCTTCTCAAACCTTCCATTAGCTTGTGATTAGCAGCTAGCCCTAAACCTACCAGCAGCTAGGTGGCCCAGTGGATGGAGCACTAGGCTTGGGGTCAGGAAGACATGAGCTCAAATCCAGTTTCATACACTTACAAGCTGTGTGACTCTGGGCAAGTCACTTAACTTTGTTTGTGTTAGTTTCCCCACCTATAAAATGAGTTGGGGAAGGAAACAGCAAACCATTCCAGTAACTTTGCCAAGAAAACCCCAAATGGGGTCATGAAGAGCCAGACACAACTGCAATGATGGAACAACTAAACTGCTGGGCTACTTGAAGGCGTGATTTAATTTGGAGATATGCATGTCCACTATCTCCCAACCTACTTGATTTTTTTTTTTTGTAGATCAATTCAATAAATGCCTGTTGAACTTAATTATCTGCCTATATTTATTGCTAGGCTCATTGGTACTAAATTCTTGCATATGAACTTGTTAGTGCCCAAATTAAAAGTGACCATCTTTAATGGCTCTCTATTATTATTTCTCTCTTTTACCCCTAAACTTGGCCCTTTGGGGACTATTATTTTGATCTCTTGACTTCTTCTGTCCCCTTATAATTATAAAATTATATTTTATATATAAATATATATTAAAAAATCTCAGAGTTGGACAGGATTTCAGAGGTCCACTTATCCAAACTCTACCTCAGCAGGAATCCTCTTCAAAAAATAAGTAGTCATCCAGGCTATGCTCAAAGATCTCTAGTTTTTGGCAATTCACAATCCCACTAAGGTAGCATATTCCACTTTAAGCCAGTTCTAATTTTTAGGAAGTTTCCCCCCATATCATGCTCACATCAGCCTCTCTGAAACTTCCACCGTACCCTCTGGGGCCAAGCAGAATAAGTGCAACCTCTTTTCAAAGTGAATCCTAGATTTCCTTTCCTTCCCCTTCCTTCTCTCCCTTTATAGTCACTCATTCATTCAAAGGTATTTATTAAGAGCTTACTATGCCAGGCATTGTGCTAAGCACAAGGAATAGAAAAACAACAATGAAACAGTTCTTGTCCTCAGAAAGTTTACATTCTATTTGCAGAAAATAATATGAAAATGGATCTATAAATACAAAAATATGTATATTCAAAGTAAAAATAAAGTAGTTTTAGACAGTGAGGAGTAGGGGAAGGACACTAGCAATGAAGAGATCAGAATAGGCATTAATTATGTAGGAGATGGAACTTGAGCTGAACCTTGAAGGAAGCTAGGGAGTCTCTGAGGTGGAGGGATTTGGGGGTGCACTGTAGGCATGAGTGTAGACATCAGTGCAAAGGTATAGAAATAGGAGATGAAACACCATGTACTGGGAATAGCAAGAAGGCCAATTTGGTGAGAAGGGAGAAAAAATAAGAGACAGCAATATACAGTAATTCTAGAACGTTAGGCTGAAGTCAGACTATGAAGTGTTTTACATAATAGCTGGCGAGCATTTATATAGTGCCTTCAGTTTGCAAAGTGCTTTATATATGTTATTTCATTTGATCAGAGGAATTTATATTTTATCCCAGAGGCAACAGGGAGCTTTTTGAATAGATCCATGCCTGAGTAATATCAGTTTGGCTGCTTTAATGGAGGATGCAGCAGAGAGAAGAGAGACTGGGGTCAGGGAGATTCATTAGGAGGTTATCGCAATAGTTCTGGTGAGAGATGACGAGAGCCTGAACTAGGCTGGTGGGCAGAAGAGTGGGGCACTGGGAGTGGTTGCAAGAGATATTGTGAGGAGAGGATTGCTAAGATTTGACAATTGATTAGACACAGGGGTTGAGGGAGGGGAAAGAATCAAGGATGACTCCAAGGTTGTGAACCTGGGTAACTGGAAAAATGATGATGTTCTTAGCAAAAACAAGGAAGTTAGAAAGAAGGGAATATATAGCCTATTTGCCAAATATCTACAAGTGAATATCCTGTGACCATCTCGAACTTTACTCATGATATATTGTTATAGTTAAAGATCAAGGAAGTGTACAGAGGGCTAAAAAAGAACAATGAAACTGATTTTTTTTCTGTAAGCCACACAAGAAAGTCAGTTCCATCACATACACATACATTTTTCCTATTACAATCCTCCTCATCTCTTGAAAAAGAACAAACACGAATAAACACTGCATATGCCAATTTAGGCATATTAAACTTCCATATTTTGGGGTCATTTCTGTAAAGTTCTTATTGATGCCATGTATAGAAAGGAAATAATACATTTTGGCATCATAACATTATTTCACAATTTGTGGATTACTATGAGTTGTTGGAAAGAGAAAGGGAGGAGAACAAGCATTTATTAAATGCTGATTATGTGCTAAGTACTTTACGAATGTTATCTCATCTGATCCTCACAACAACCCTGGGAGGTTGGTGCTATTATTATCCCCATTTTACAGTTGAGGGAATGGAGGGAGAAAAGAGGTTAACTGACTTGGCAAGAGTCACACAGCTAGTACATATCTGAGACTAGATCTAGACTCAGTTCTTTCTGACTCCAGGCCCAGTGCTCTATTCTGTGTACTACCTAGCTGTGGATAGATGGCAATTTTCTATCTGAAAATGGAAATCAATACAGTTCTAGCTCAGGAGAGGCGAGTAATCATTGACATGACAGAATAAAGATAATACGCTTGGGAGTATTCAAAACCAAGATCAGGAACACTTATTTAAATGATTTGAGGGTTTAAAACTTTCTTTCGTTTCCTAATTACTGCCCCAACTCCCTCATGATCATATTCAGCTTTTTGGGGGGTGCACAGGGAGACTCCAGACCTTTGATTTTATTGCTGTGTGGAGAGCCCCTGATATGCAAACTTCCTCCATTGAAACAGATCGGTAACATCGGTATGTCTTGTTTACATAAGTCTTGGAAAGTTGCGTATGGGCCCAGGGAAATTAAGTGATTTGCCCAGAATCACACAGGTAATATGTATCAGAGTTCTTGAGTTCTGGTATCCCTGATTCTGAGGCCAGCTCTCCATCCAGCATTCCACACTGCATCTCATCATTAACATGTTTGGGGAGAAAAGGGAACAAAATTTTATTCAATGCCTGCTATGTATCAGGCACTGTGCTGAGCACTTTACAAATCTCATCTCATCTCTCATGTTTGGAGAATAACTCCTTGTGAAGCCCAACTTCCTTATTTGTATCTGATATAAGGAAACAGGGATAAGGGAATAAATATTAACAGAATTTACATTGCTGTTATGTCCTATGTACAAATATACGTATACACACACACGCCCACCCACCCACACACATATATAATACACACACAGGCAAATAAAAATTTTTGAACTTACTTCTGGTGTTTGAACAGCTGAGTTCCACATAACAGGTCTTTGAAGAAATACAACCTGTTTTGTAGCCAAATTTCCTTCACTGAAAACGAAAACACATTAGAATTTGAGAGAGTAGTACTCCATAGTACTCCATAGTTGATACCAAATTAGTATATTCATAGATTTAGAGCTAAAAGGTGTCGCAGAAGTCACCTAATCCTTTCTATCCCCCCCACCACCCCATTTCATGAGGAAACCATGCCTCTGAGAAGTTAAATGACTTAGAATCACACATATAGTAGGTAGCAGAGTCTGGATTTTGCCCAAGTCATTTGACTCCAAATTGAAAATTGAGAAAATCAAATTGCTTCTATTCTGTAATTGATTTCATTTTATATCACTTCTCACATTTTGTGTAACTATCTATGTCACATTTCATTTGTCTCTAAGTTAAGTTTGGAAGTTCAACTTCCCTGTAAATCATTCACTGACTCTGAGTTAAGTTTAGAAGTTCAGTTTTCCTGCTAATTACTGTTCTATTCTTGTGTCAAGGAAATCTGTTATCCTTGAAGGATGCAGATGGATGCCGGCGAGTCTGGTTTATTATCTCTGCAACACTGGCTGTCCTTCAAGAAAGTCTGGCCTGTTATTGCTGTGACACTAACTAGCCACACAGGGTGATGGAATCAATCAGAATTTACTAGCAAGAGATTGTGGCTAGCTCTGCATTTCCCATTTTCAGCCAATTATATTGTTCCCCATGCCTATAATGCTTCAGACTTTGTAACCAATCATACTGTTTTCCCTATCTATCATTCCACATTTTTTTGGATGTTCCTCTTTTTGTCTATAAAAATGATCTATCAGCCCTCATTTGGGGTCTTAGCTAGCTGAGGAAGCTGAGACCCTGTTTATTGGCAAATTTGTGCTTTGATAATAAATTGATCATGTGTGGAGCTTTGTGCCTCAGTTTACTTTAATTCCAATTATGACAGAATCCAGGGTATGCTGCACATCTATGCAGAACTTTTGTATGTCTTCTCCACATTAATATGTTGGTTACAGAATTTCTTGGTCTGGAATGGTATATTCATTAGTGTAGTTGTGTGAGTTCTTGTGTTGAAATCCCCTCTACCAACGTAAACTGACAATGGATCTGTAATTTATAGTTTTAGATGTTTGCCTGGAGAAATTGTGACCTGCCCATGGTCACAGAGCTAATATGTGTCAGAAGCACTACTTGAAATCAGGTCTTCCTAAATCTAAGGCCTACCCTCTGTCCATTATGTCATGCTGTATCACGGTTGATGGTTGATGAATATACAATGCCACACTAGATAGGCATGGAAACATTTAGAATGCATGTTCTGTTAAGAGAATTCAACCACTTCAGAATTTTATCTTCAAAAGTCTTGTCATTGTCTGTCATTCTGAGTTCTTTCTTTATTCAACTATCATCATGGCAAATTATCCTTTACCAAAGAGGGCCAGAGGGCCAGATTCCTCTTGAAATGTTTTTCACAGTATCTCCATGGATTTGTGGGTTGGAGTGCCTGTAGCTAATGTTGCTCAGCTACAACTTTTATTATGCAAAAAGTCAAAACAAAACCCTACTATTATAGATGTCTATCTAATCCTGACCTCTTTCACTTAAAAACAAATGCAGCATTGAAAATAACCAAAAATGTGGATAAAACTCCCACAAAATCTGAAATCCCATAATTTACTGAAGTACTTTAATGTTAAATAGCTCCATCTTTCCCTAACTAATGTTGATAAACATACATTCCTAATCTACTTTTAATCTGCCCTTAGGGCCAGAGCTAGCAAAAGAATAAAGATAACATTCAATTCAACTACTTATTTATTTTGATGGAAAAAAATTTAAACTTCATAGCACCTTCTAAAAAGTATACTGAAAGGGAACAGAACAGGCACTAAGGCAAAGATGCTTGTGTCTAAGTGAAATATGAGATGGGAAAGAATGTCTCAGGGTGTATCTCCTCCAGCAGGGGTTTTTAATCTGGGGTCTGTGACCTTAAAAAAACTTTTTGATAATTTTATTTCAATATAATTAGTTCATAACCCTACGTATTTTATTTTATGCATTTAAGAACATTATTCTGAGAAGGAGTCTATGGGCTTTACCATGCTGCTGACTCAAAAAAATGGATAAGAACTCCAGTTTTAGAGGGAGAAGTCTGAGAACAGAGTACATGAGATGAGGATAGAAAAGAATGTCTTAGGCAATATTTCAGGATGGCGTTTGGGCTTCAGGATGAGGATTACATAAATGAGTATCATAGAGTTGGAGACCTACAGAGCAGGGGAAAAGGTATCAGAGTTCTTGAGTAGAAAATAGGTCTGCCAAGATAGTGATGGTGAATATCCAGGGGATATTTTTCTTTTCTAGCACATCCACACATATCTGGGATGTCCTAGGGTGGATTATTTGGTTTAGAGCTAATGGGCCTTGTACAAGAGAATTCCATGTTCATGGATTATTTGGTGAAGTTTCTTGATACTCCTCCACTAAATTCCTATTTCAATGCTTTATCACAGTGTAGAGGTGAGCTTGGGTTCTCAAAATCTATGTTAGCAGAGAATAAGTTTTAGCAAATAAGTCTTAGCAATCTGGAAATGTTTTGAATAAAAACCCATTGACTCAAGACCAATTTAGCTAAGTTTGGAAAGGCCCATCCATAGAAGGGTGACCAACAATTCACAATTTATTTGGCCACACTAACTTATCAATCAATCAACAAGCATTTATTAGCACTTAATGTGTTCCAGGAACTGTATTGGAGATATAAAGAAAGGCAAAAAGTCTTTGTTCTCAAGGAGCTTACATTCCAATAACAGAGATTATAATATATAGAAATTATTACATATAAGATAAATGCAGAGTAAATGGAAAATAGTTTTAGAGGGGAAGGCACAAGCAGCTAGGGAATTAGGAAGGAACTCTTGGAGGTAAAAGAACATGAGCTGAGTATTAAATGAAGCCAGGAACTCTAAAGTCAGAAGGGAAAAGGGAGAGCTTTCCAGGAATGGGAACAAAGGTGTGGAGATGGAAAATGGAGTATTGTGTGTGAGGAACAGCAAGTACACCATTATGGATTGGTATAAAGTATAGAAAAGTTAGGAAGGGAAAGGTTATGAAGAACTTCAAATCCCAAAAAGAAGTGTTCCTATCTACACCTTGATGTAATAAAGAAGCACTGCAGTTTATTGAGTGGGATGTATGGGACAGTAACATGGTCAGCTATGTTTGTTTTTTTTTTTTTCTTTGGCAAGCATATAGAGTATGTACTGAAGTGGGGAAAGATTTGAGGGTGTCCAATTAGAACGCTATTGTAGGAGTCCAGGAGAAAGGTGATGAGGGCCTGAACTAGGTAGAGGCTGACTGAATGAAGAGAAGGGGGCATACATGAAAGATGATATAGAGAAAGAAATTACAAAATTTGGCAACTGACTGAATATGTGAGATGATAAGGAGCCAAGGATGGCACCAAGGTTTTGAACATAATTGACTGGAAAAGGGACAATGCCCTTTTTGGAAACTGTCTAATTCACAGAGGGAATGCAGTCTATGTTCATAGAGATCGTACTCATGTTGATGATGTAATGGATTTTCTGAAGAATTTAGATATTCTTGCTCTCATACATAGCTCAATTGCCTTATTTGATTGGCAGAATTTGGGGTGTATGACAGCTTAGAGAATGATTTATTTCCCTACACAAATCCACATTATTCATATGAAAACACATCAAACTATGCCACTCGCCTTTCATCTTGAAATGTGAAAAAAAGAGCCCAATACTTATTTCTTAGGGCCTTTTCCCCATAGAACTTGAACTTTACTGCATTATCTAATACTAAGTTCTCATGTCATATGACCTGGGACATCAGTCATTTTGGCTTCTTAGATAATTTAGACAGGTTAGAATGAAGTGGAAGACAAATACATTTCACAAACCTTATTTTATAATCCACATTCTGAGATGACTTGTCCAGAACAAAGATGAACCTTGGGTGTGGGTGAGGAACATAACTTCCTGTAGTCTAAATTCAAACTACAGACTATTACCTCTGTGTCTATGTGGTACCTGAATTCTGAGTAGAAGATAAAAATAGTCTCAGACCATAAGAAGGAGGCTTATTTCACCCATATGTTACTTAGGTTTAAATAAATTAATACCCACTTCTCAGAGAGGGAATAGATGTGGTGACTAAGAGGTGGCCAAAGTGGTAGAAATGGGAAAAATTCCAGGGTTGAAGGTTTTTATAGTGTGTTTCAAATTCCAAAGTATTCTGAGTTCCAAAATACTGACTTATAAACTTCAGAAATATGATCTAATTATAAGTTAAGGGCTGCCTATATTGAAGTGTTCCACAGGAAGACAGGATTTAGAATTGGAAAGGATCTTGGACATTATCAATTTTTATCCCTCATTTGCAGATAAGGAAACAGGCTCATAATGGTAGTAAACTGACTTGCTCAGAATTATACAGGCAGTATGTAGGACAGCCAGATTTGAACCAAGTCTACTGATTCTAAATTCAGTATACTTTTTTTCCAAAACATCTTTTAAGCAAAATATGATTATTTTATATTTGCTTAGCTGCAAAAGGTCACAAAACTGTTTATTCAGGACTTAGAATTTCATTATTTTTGTCTACTATTTCCCAAATTCTAGTCTGGATAGGTGAAAAAAGATCTCCCCCTTTTTTTTTTAAAGAATAGGTAAAGACTCAAGCTCAGAAGAGGAGCAATCATGAGAGCGGGGAGGATATAACAGGCAAATTGGCTTTTTGAAAAAACAGCCTTATTAAAATGCTTCTCACGGTAAGATTACTATGGTTTAATTCACAGAGGAATTACACAATACTGAGTTTTTCAAAGAACTTAAATTAGAAAAGAAAAAAAAAAGGCAGCATCAAAAGGACCAAGAATGATATTTTATAGTATCCTTCCAACTGTCTTTAAATATGTAATCTTTCTTATAGGCTGCCACATGGGAACTTAGATGAAGCTATTAGCTACACTTGGTTAAGTAGATGGTCTTTTAGAGCTGAAAGTTAGTTTTATTCTTTCC